ATAGCATTTCCGACAATAATATATGGGCGAGAGACAATTAACCGGATTATCCAAAATTAGCTACGTCATTCAGCTAACGGCAAGCAGTCCTTTAATAACAATTGACTTTTGAGCTAAGTTTGTCTTCGCGATGTTAAAGTGCTGCAAAAGATAGCTGAATACTGCAAAATTTGTCTTTCAAACAATTCGGCTTCTCGGCGTTAATACTCGAGTCAGCAAGTCTTTTACTCTCTTACTAACTTCAACTTTATTCATTTTTCTTACATATTGAAATTATTAATAACCGACTGCTAAAAACCCACTTCAGTCTTTTAATTCATCGAGAGCAAATATTTATTGAAGAGAGGAAATCAGTGATTTTCAGCATCGCATTATTTAAATATCTCAAGTCATTAAATTTTAAAACAGTACGTCCTTTGAACAGTTAATAAAAGTAAACTGAATAATGCTGTTCTTTTTCGTTTTATACTGAAATAAGAAATATTTCCTAAACCGACTGATATCGATGCCATCCCGAAATGCGATAGTTGGAGCTAAATCAATTGAATCAAATGAATGAACTAGCCAATAAATATCTAATGTGATCGAAAAATGGATTAAGTTTAGTAACTTTGCGAACAGCGAATGGAGTAGTGCTACGCATTATTAATTATTTATTATCACATCGCACATGTGCAACTACAGTAAGCATAAATTGCTTTTTCCATCAATATTTTGTAATGAACAGGATATTAATTTTGAAATTTGAAAGCCTAATTTTGAATTCGCAAAAATTATGCAAACGAAAACTAAGCTGCATTTTCTAATGGAGAAATGACTAATGGAGAAATGACTTGAAATGAGTGAGAACTGATGAAAACACAATGCAAAATAGATAAATTTAAGCAATGATATGATCCAACTTCATAATTTCTGACCAAAAAAAAGTTTTCGGTGTAAAACATTAGAGATATTAGAGATATTAAAAGTAAAGACTATATTCTTACCCTCTGCTTTTTCGATATCCATTGTCGTTGGTAAAGCGTTTCTCTGAAATTAGAGAGTTTTAATCTAGCTTTATCTAAACCTGCAACTTACATCATCAAAAAGTACGCAAAAGCATTGCCTGTCTACTTCACCATCATCTATGACTCTTGGAAAGAGAAAGAAAGGTTGAGGAGAATTATCCCATGGACATACAAAAATAAATGTACGACTTTCCCACTCTTTCACTCATCATCTCATTGGAAAGACTATTTCACAGTCCCATATCCTACTAACGAATTGTTTCAAAA